TAAAAAATAATATATTTTTTTCAAAGGGGAGTTAATGTAACTATTATTTGAGTTCACTTATTTTTTATAGTTTTTTAGGAGAAACTTATTTTCGTGCCTGCATTAAGAAATCAATTCCAATTTTTTGTTTAATAAACATTCTTGGTTTGTATGTGTAATTATTCGAATTTTTTCTTGTTGACATAGTATGCATTTTTTGGAAATATTGTTAAATGCAGGCACTGTTTTAAGGATGGACCAATTCAGTGTAAAATCATCAATATTTTTATCTTTTAAATCCCATACATATTTTGACAGCATGGTGTCTTTTGAATACTTTTTATTTTTAAGAGGTTGCTTATGATTGGCAAAACGTTTTTTCCATTCACCTTTTGTTATGCCAATATATTGTTTATCAGGTACATTCTTAGAGGAAACAACACATTTATACACCACATTTTTTTGATAAGCAACTTCCACTCATTGGACAATTGTTTTTTTGTTTACAATTACAATTTTCTGTATATTTATATTCTGTATATATATATATATATATATATATATATATATATATATATATATATATATATATATATATATATATTATATATATATATGTATGTATATATATATATATATATATATATATATATATATATATATATATATATATATATATATATATATATATATATAATATATATATATATATATATATATATATATATATATATATATATATATATATATATACATATATATATATATATATATATATATATATATATATATATATATATATATATATATATATATATATATATATATATATATATATATATATATATATATATATATATATATATATATCGTGAGTCAAACGCCTTTGTGTGTATGTACATACATAAACACAAAGGCGTTTGACTCGCGATGTCTCACATTGCGAACTATTAGTTAAACTTGCATCTTACGGTATTAGAGGTAACCTTCTTCATTGGATCGACGCTTTTCTTTTAAATAAATTTCAACAGGTTAAAATAAATACCTCACTATCAAATACAATCCGTGTTCCACATGATAGTGTGTTGGGACCAACATTATTTTTACTATATATTAACGACTTATCTAACATAAAAATTGTTCTTTAAAACTTTTTGCGGGCGATATCAAGTTCAATAGTTCTGATTATGACATGGACAATAGCAGAGATTTAGCTGTTGCTCTAAATAAGCTCGTACTCTGGGCTGAAAGGTGGCAACTAAAAATTGCTAGCAATAAGTGTTTCGCACACAGAATTGCACCTCCTTTACTATGCAAAGGTATAAAAAGTAACTATATTCTAGGGGATTATACTTTAGCTTGGTCTTACAACCCAAATAATCTAGGATTGACGATGGACTCTAATCTAAGCTACAATAAACGAATTTCAAATGTTGTACATCAAGCTAACTCCAGAGCATACCTAATTTTAAAGTGTTTTAAAACTCGCGAGCCTTCTATCCTAGTTAGAGCTTTCACTTCCTATATAAGACCAATTCTAGAATATTGTTCTCCAGTTCGGTCACCATACCGAATTGGATTAATTAAATCAATAGAAAGTGTTCAAAAAAAGTTACGAACCTTAAAAATAAAACTTATTATGACCGTCTCCGATCGCTCGGTTTGGACTCACTTAAAGTTAGGCGACTAAAACAAGACTTAGTAGCATGTTTGAAATTCTTAAAAATCTTGTTTTAATCAAAAGTTCCAAGTTCTTTGATGTTGACAGCAATAACTACACTCGTGGTCATATTTATAAAATTCGAAAACAATATTGATGCTTAGACACTCAAAAGTGTAGTTTGTTGACATCCTGTGGGTTGCTGACATATGCAATAATGTGGATGCAGTACACTCAAAAAATATTTCTATATTTAAAAAAAAAACTAAGTCATCCAATTTAAAAAGCACTGTATATTATAATGGTTACATTTTTGTGATGGTATATTTTTAGTTTTTGTAAGGGCACGCTGTTAGTGTCCGTCTTTTACATGGACCTACGTGTCCTTTAGAACATGTATCTCCTTGTTCTAACAAATATATATATATATATATATATATATATATATATATATATATATATATATATATATATATATATATATATATATATATATATATATATATATATATATATATATATATATATATATATATATATATATATATATATATATATATATATATATAGTTTTTTATGATATGTTTCAAATTTTCAATGCACAAACGAATGCTTTGAAAGAAATAGTCTAGTGCAAGATTTCCTGGCAGATAGACATAATGAAAATCAGAGACACAACATCATGGTGATTGCTAAAGAGAATAGAAAAAGTGTGGATAAAAAATGAGAGTGATTTGAACAATATAACTCATTAGCAAAAAGTATTTTAGATTAAACTTAATTTCTTTTTTAACTTTAATTAAAAAAAATAATTTCAAACAAACCTTTTTTTCTTCGGATTAATTTATTATTTAAATATTTTGATATTTTAAAGAAAAATGAAAATCTACTCCTGACACTTCCTCAAATTTATACTTTTATTTTATTTAAGGTATACAACTTGGATGTGTTTCGAACCTATTGGTTTTGTGAAAAAGTATATATATATATATATATATATATATATATATATATATATATATATATATATATATATATATATATATAATATATATATATATATATATATATATATATATATATATATATGTATATATATATATATATATGTATATATATATATATATATATATATATATATATATATATATATATATATATATATATATATATATATATATATATATATATATATATAATACTGTTATTATTATTATTTTTATTATTATTATTGCTATTATTATTATTATGTAATTTTTATTATAAAATATTATAAAAATAAGTTTAGAAAACTATTATATCAGCTTTAATATCATATAAATAATATTTCACTTAATGGTAAGATCACTGTAGGTGTTTGATAGTTGGTGGAAATTTAAAGAGGATATTTTAACAGAAAGTGAATGGATGTTTAAAAGAATTGTAAATATATTAAAGTTACTTATAACTGCACAAAATTTTTTTAATTGTTTAGAAACTTATTTACTCGATGATTACAATTTAAAATGCATTTTTAAAAATATTTTGTTCCTCCCACTACTAATAAGTTAATATAATATCGGTTTAACTGAGAGTGCACACAAAAAATATTATATATAAATATAAAAAAATTTGCTATAGTTAATATGCTATCAAAAATGATAACTTTTGATAGCATATTTAACTAAATAATTAAATATAGTTTTTAAAAAATGAATGCTAGAAAAAAATTACACACATTTATTAAGTAAATTTAATGAAAAAAAAATCAGAACTGATATCAAAATATAAGCATTACATAAAGTATCTTTTAAAATATCAAATAACCAAACTAATCTAAATAATCTTGTGTGATTATCTTTTCTCAAATTAACTGTAGACTTCCTGTTTACATAAAGAATTGAGAAATAACTTTCGATAAAATATTTCTCATATATATATATATATATATATATATATATATATATATATATATATATATATATATATATATATATATATATATATATATATATATATATATATATATATGTATATGTATATATATATATATATATATATATAAATATATGTATAAATATATATATATATAAATATATATATATATATATATATATATATATATATATATATATATATATATATATATATATATATATATATATATATATATATATATATATATATTCAAAAGTATATATACAGGTGTTGTTGAAATATACCGTACCGTCTTTGAGTTTTATAAAATATACCAGTACCGTCTTTGAGTTTTTCATGTTTTTATATTGAGTTTTTATGTTTTTATATATTTAAGAGAATTGTAGGTTGATAAGAATTGTTACTGCTCATCATTAACAATAAAATCATCATAAAAATACTCATCATCAATTCATTATAGGGACTGCGTTGCAATTGATCGAAGAAGGTCATCATATTGTTTATGATTTTATAAAATGCATGATGGTCATTATTTTGTTGTAAAGTTTGGAATGAAACTGTTTCAACTGCGAGAAAGCATGTTTTGAATATGAAAGCTAAGATCCGTTACTTTTTTTGTGAAGGCGTTGTTACTAGGCTACCAGGTAGTTACTGTTATTAGATATCAAATCTAAATGAAAATATGCAAAATGCAACCATTATAAAGACAAAAAACATTTTGAAAAGTAATCTAAACTAACTTAGTCATCTGGACCAACTATGATAGATATTTAATATATTTGTTAATTTTTTATTATTTTTAAAAAAGATATTAAAAGTTTCAGATTTCAGTACATTTTAGTTGTTTTATTGTTGTTGTTTTTTCTTTTTCTCGTACGATTATTTGGTCTTTCTTTGTACGTACTTGGTCTTTCAATAGTTTGACTCTTCTTTAAAGACTTTATTTGTCCCTTCTTTATAAATTTCAAGTGTAATTTTTTTTTATAGATTTACCATGTGTTTTATATTAGGCACCCGATTAACACATGGTTAAAACATAACACGCGTGCGTAAGAAGATTAGTGGGTGAGTGCAATGCAATTTTTATTTACTGGATATAATTTGTCATTAATAAATGACCTCAAAGATTAATATTTTTGCATCTCATCTTTGGAAAATCAAAAATAATTAAGAACTGAGATTTAAAAACTTAGTAAAGTATACGCTTAATTAAGCATGAAACAAACAAAGGCTATAAACGCAAGTGAACATATTAGTTTGTTTATATTCATTTTTTTAAAGATAAACTTGTCGACATCAAGATTAGTTCTTTGATTAGCAAAGTCAAGGTTAAATAATCCTGACATTAAATCTTCTATGAAATTCCAAACTTATTTTAACAATTGTTTATTTGTTTAATAATAATAGGATTATAACCAATTTTTGTATAAATAGAACTGTAGCAAAATGTTAAACAAAAAACTTTGAAAATAAAATAGCTAAAGCGCTGTTTTTAACGACTTATCATAGACAATAATATTGTAATATAGGATGAATGAAAATAACTTAAAAAAAACTAATTTTAAAGGCTTATATGGGGTGGTTATTGCCTCAGTTGTGATTCCAGCAATTACATTTTGTGTATCTTTAGCAGTTGGGTATAAATCTCAAACAGTTAATTCAACGTATACTCCTTTTGTTAGTGAAGCTGGTGACCAAAAACCTAATTCAAGTATTTTTACTTTGGGATTGTCGCTTAGCGGTATGATGACAATGGTTATTATTATAATTAGATTTTACCAAGTTAAATTTTATTTTACAGAAAGAAATGAATGCTTTAGTCGAATAAACAATTTTTCTCTAATATGTGGTATAACGTTAGTGTTTGGCGAATTCATTGTGGCAGCCTTCCAGCTTTCAAACATCACACCTATCCATTTCCTAGGTGCTGGTATGAACTTTCTAGGTGCGGTGTTATATTGCGGAACTCAGTGTTATTTCACTTCTCAAAATCCAAAAACTATTTTCTTTTTTCGTGTCATATCTACTGTTACTATGGCATTTTCATCAATGGTGTTTGTAGTTTTCATGGTGCCACCTTTGACTCGACATAACCGTAATGGCGAAAATATCGCACAGACTTTTGAATGGATTCTTGTCACCTGCCAGTTAATTTTTATGCTCACATTTTTGTATGACTTTCGTAGATTGGAAGTTGAGTTCAGATTTAAGCAAATTGATCCACAAGATTCCGATAATGATAAAATGACACAAGATTTCGATAATGGTAAAAAAACATTTCTAAACTTTACTTTCTTCAATGATCGAAAAGATTACGAGACTATTAATTAAAAGTAAAGTACATTTCTTTATTTTTAAAATTTTTCATTTTTTAGATGTTCAAATACATATTATTATTTTTAATTATAACTTGAACCTGTTTAAATTTTTTTATTTCTTGAACCTGTTTTATTTTATTTTAAACATTTTTAAAACTGCTGAATTTAAATTTAAAATTAAAAATCAAATAGGTAGTGAGGGCTACTAAGTTAAAACTAAGACTTTCGTGTGCACAGGCATGTTAAAAGCAACTTTTCGTTTTTAACTTGTTCTTTAGGTTAATAGTATAAAGAAAAAAATAATGCAAAAGTTTTTACATTTTATGGCCGGGACCTATGACGTAAAACTTACTTCAGTCAACAAAAAAAATTATCGTAAATTTTAAAAATATGTATGTTATACAAAAGAGCTTGTCAAGCGAAATAAAAAATATGCAAAAATCATATGCTGAAAACGTTTCCTTACCAAGGTATACCACTTTTAAGAATATATAAAAGACAGACCCAGAATATTCAGATTCGCATAAAAAGACTAAAAAAATGATTCTTTCATTGCGTGTTTGCTATATATCAATGATGCATTTTATTTAAAGAATTGTTATTGATATAAAGTTTATGTTAAAAGCAATGATCTATTATATACAATGAGTTAAAGTTCGTTCTACGAGAATGTAAGTTGTTTCATTGGTGCTTTCTGTGCCTTCCACAGATGAATACATGAGCTAGAATCATTATTAAAAGAAAAGTATTTAGTTGTACCTTACCACAATATGACAAGTAATACCCAGATAGTAATCATTATTGACAGAATGGCGTTAGTAAACAGAGTTCACAAAGGCGCTGAAATAAAAATGTGGAAGGAAAACCCTGTTTGTTTTTTAAAAAAAAACATTATTAAAAAAATATTATTTACCAACATAATTAAACATAAAAGAGTTATTTAAGATTTAAACATTAAAAAGAATGTTGTTTATTCTGGTATTTTTTTAGGACTTCGCCAAACATTTTTTTATATCACTATTAAAAATTGCAAATAGTTACAACAAAATTAGACTTGTATTTGAATGCAATATCGGTCAGTATTTTAAAACTAAAACAAGATTGAAGCGATCATATAGAAACAACTTAAATTACAGTAAAGGTAATAGATAAAAGAGATATTACCATTTTTTCATTGAACCATCTAATATAGAAACTAATAACGACATTATATACCGACAGAATATACTTATGATGCCGTATAAGATCAAAGAATATATTTTTCAATTACATATGAATTAAAAACAGTGACAAATATCAAATATTTGATATGTCAAATACACTCTTCAATTGGTCCGTGCCATTGATATTGTAAGATGTAATACATTATCAGATTGCTATATTTTTTCCCCAGATACAGACATACTTTTTTTTGCTAGTACTTTACTGTGAATATCTACTCAATAAAAAAAGTACTCGTTATATTTTATAAAAAACATAACGCTAGATTCCTTGTTTTATAACGGGTAGTTACCGCTATGTTTAACATATAATATGTATGAAAAAAATATAACGGAATTTGTCGTTATGTTTTATTCATACGAATTATACATTGAACATAAAGATAATTATCGGTTATAAAACACAAAATCTGGCGTTATGTTAGCGTTATGTAAACGTTATGTTTGAAAACCTGATATAACGGGTAATTACCCATTATGTTTACTAACTTTAATAAATTTTAAAGTTAAAAATTAATAATTTATTATATATATACATACATACATATATAAATATATACATATATATATATATATATATATATATATATATATATATATATATAATATATATATATATATATATATATATATATATATATATATATATATATATATATATATTGGACACACCAAGCCCAATCCTCTACGAGTTTACAGGTCTTACGCTATTAGCGATATGATATATATATATATATATATATATATATATATATATATATATATATATATATATATATATATATATATATATATATATATATATATATATATATATATGTATACATATTACAGGTCTTACGCTATTAGCGACATGATATATATATATATATATATATATATATATATATATACATATATATATATATATATATATATATATATATATATATATATATATATATATAATATATATATATATATATATATATATATATGTATACATATATATATAAATATATATATATATATATATATATATATATATATATTTTATATATATATATATATATATATATATATATATATATATATGTATATATATATATATATATATATATATATATATATATATATATATATATATATATATATATATACGGAAGCTGATGCGCTGTAGTAATTATTTAAGCTGATCGAATTTTGCATTGAAGCGATCGACACTGGTAGCACTGACTACTACGTTAGGTAATGCGTTCCATGGGTGAGCGACGCGGTTGTTGAAGGAGTTATAGCGAACGAGGCAGTTGTTGTCCATTTCACGATGAAAATGCTTGCGATGACCGTAGCTAGGTGGGATGTTGGGTGGATCTATATGCCAGCTAATTGAGTTGATACTGTTTTCGAATTTATATTTTTGAATGAGGTCGCCGCGTAAACGTCTATTTAACAGAGAGGTGAGACCGAGTTTGATGCATCTTGTCTCGTAATCGAAGCGCTTTATTTCGTGCGGTACTTTGGTAACCCAACGCAAAACACGTTCTATGACATTTATGTCTTTTTCAAGATGCGGGCACTAGGCAGTAACTGCAAACTCAAGATGTGGGCGTATATAAGAGGTGTAAAGTTTTTTCCATATTTTGGTATCTCTGCTTATAAAGGTGTTTTTCAATGTCCCGAGGACTTTATTAGCCTTGGCAGCGGCTATTTGTGCTTGCCTCTCATATTTTAAGTTGTTGGAAATTTGAACGCCTAGTTCTTTTTCGGATGTTGAAGACTCGATTACTGTTCTTGTGACGCTACCGTTAGCGTCGTACTCGTTCATTAAATAAATGTGTGGGGAAACATTGTACTTACTGAAATGCATGACTTTGCATTTCTTGATGTTGAGTTCCATTAACCAGGTTCGAGTCTAGGTAACAAAGCTATCTATATTGGATTGCAGACGAGCTTTGTCTTCAGTGGTTTTGACGACACTCAGGATTTTAGTATCATCTGCATACATTTTACATAAGTTTTTGCTACTGATGTGTTCAGGTAAGTCATTAATAAATATTATGAACAGCATAGGACCTAGCACTGAGCCTTGCGGAACGCCACTGGTAACCTTTACCGAGGTGGATGACGTATTACCTAATATGACACGCTGTGATCTATTTGAAAGGAAAGCTTTTATCCAGTTAAGAACGTTACCTTCGATTCCGTAGGATTCAAGTTTTTGAAGTAATCTTCTGTGAGGGACTTTATCAAAGGCTTTGGCGAAGTCAAGAAAAAGAACATCTACTGAAAGCTTGCGAGAAACATTGTAGGTCAGTAAGTCCATGGCCTCAAGCAGATTCGTGACGCAGGCTTTTTTATTGACAAAGCCGTGCTGGCAATCGGCAGTAAATTTATGAGCTACAAGGTGATGCATGATCTTTTCTTTAACAATTTTTTCCATTATTTTGCATAGTACTGAGGTGATGGAGATAGGCCTATAGTTTTCTGGGTCGAGTCTGGAGTCTTTTTTGAACAGTGGCATCACGTTTGCCGAGAGCCACGCATTTGAGACTACACCTTGATCCATTGATTTCTGAAAAGTGGTGGTGAGCGGGGTAGCTGCCACATCAGCGCATGCTTTAAGCACAAATGAACTGATACCGTCACCTCCAGTTGATTTATTGGCGTTGAGAGCAGATAGGTATTTGTGAACGGAATCATAGCTGAAGATGACAAAGGGAGGTAGTTGTTGATCTGATGGTTCGATTGTGAATACTGACTGGAACTGGCTGTTAAGTATATTGGCTATGGATGCGTGGTCGCTACTTATTTCCCCAACGGGTGAGCACATAGAAGTTATCTGGTTACTGACGGCGCGTTTGTTGTTTACATAAGCGTATAGACGCTTAGGGTTCCATTTGTCGCTAGCTAATTTGTGTTCAAATGCTCTAATTGCAGTGCAGGAAGCTTTTTTGACAAGGTTTCGAGTTTGGTTATACTCTTTGACAAGAGGAATGATTCGTCATTTGCTGTTGCGGTTGAGGTACCAAAGTTTTTTCTTACGTTTAATTAGTAAAAAAGGTTTGCTGGTTAGCCAAGGCTGCCTGTGTTTGGCCGGTTTGGAGATGATACGCGGAATAAATTTGTCACATAATTTGATATAGTTGTTGCAGAAGATTTGATAACATTCGTCGGCATATCGGTCTTTAAATAAACTAACCCAATCGACTTGGGAGAGTTTCTCGTTTAGATTCGCGTAATTACCTTTCCTATATATAAATTTTGAGATGTTAAAACGGGGAGAGTTGCAGACGTTTTTGGCTAGCTGGTGTTGCCATGTCATAGTGCAGTGACCTTGCGAGGCACTACCAAGAGGAGGACCGATAATAATATGGCTTAATCGTTCGGTTGTTTTGGTAATTACAAGGTCTAGTGTATTTTTGAACAGACCGTTGGCTTGGATGAAGGTGGGATTGATAACGTGCTGGTGTAGATGTAGGTCAAAAATGGTTTCGGCAAATTTAGTGCCAAAACTAGTTTCAGAACCGGTGGTATTGGTCCAGTCGTCGTGCCATATGACGTCGGGAAAGTTGAAGTCACCGGTGATTATTAGACCATTAAACTTTTTGTTTTCTACGGCCGATTTCGCGTAGGAGATAGCTTTTGCTATTTCGTTAAAGGCCAGAGCATTATTGGTAGGTCGGCGATAGATGCAGCCGATTAGGAGAGATTCTTGTGGGAGTTTAAGTTCGAGCCAGATCTGTTCTGTTCTGATATATATATATATATATATATATATATATATATATATATATATATATATATATATATATATATATATATATAATATATATATATATATATATATATATATATATATATATATATATAT